TTCTACCGCTGAATTGCCAAAAGATTCTTCATGTAAGGCCTGAGTTATTTTGTAACTTTTCAAGTCAGTAGTGGCACTCAGGGCCGACTCCTGCAAATCATTCGGGGTAGTATTCATCTCCGATAAGCGGTCAGTGTCATGGAAATCCAGATGCTTGAGAGAAGCGTCTAATACTGCCACGTCTTGAGCGGAATCAGCAGGAAGTTCATGTGTGCTCAATGAACTTATCTCGGAAGAAATGGATGCAGAAATGGACTGCTCTTGCAAGTTAATCGGAGCCAATCCAATGATATCTGTGCTATCCATTTGTTAAGAAAGCTTAACGTCGAATAGCTGCAGGTCAGCCAATATTCACTATAGCAAAATTTGATAAAAGCGAAAAAAGTTATATGTACAGATAAGTATAGCAAACAAAATGTAAAAACGAGAGTAATACATCAACTTAAGTGATTAAAGGATCGATTAAAAATGAAAAAAAGATTTCGTTTTATGCGATATGAATGTAAAGTAGTCACATAAGGTTTTATATAGTCGATCAACCATAGTAAGCCTTAGAATGCAAACCTAAGATATAAATACGAAGGGAAAAGATCTGAATCAGTCATAAAGTAACTATCAATCAGTGAGACAAATCTAAATAAGAAAATTTAAACAGAATCTTGAAGAGGAAATAAGGGATAAAATAGCTACTAGAAGAGAAAATTAGTTTATATTAACGCGCTCTTTTTGCAACACGATTCAAGTTTAGTATCATGTAAGTATAATGAAAATAGGATACCTTAGTGCTGAAAACCGAAACGTGTAAAAATAAATAACGGATTAATTTAAGGAATGCAAAAAGCTTAAGTTCAATCGGAATTCATCTATTAAATAATGAAAGAAGCATGTTGGCCTTGCGATTGCAAACTTTACTTTTTATATGCTGCGTCTTTTTTATGACCCCATTCAGCAAAAATTAACAATTCATAGACTATAAAAACAAACAAAAAAATCCAATAATACTAGTAAATGCAGTAAGTTAATAACGTCACTTGGAGTCTAGTCTACAAGGGAGCAGATTTCGGTTGTTCTGCGTCGACTCTTTTGGGAATCAATAAAATTTGATATGAATTGCTATAACTCAGCCTGCTTTACCTGAACTCGAGGATATCACAAGGATTGTGCCATTAACTACCCATGATAATTTATATAACGGGAAATCTACCGTTACTTTAAGGTGTG